CCAGAACCCGGTCTGTCCTGCTACGGGGAAGAAGAAGATGATTCATACATTTCCCAAGGGTAATAGTACGTAAGTGAATGTAATGGATTCGATATAATAGCACGTAAGTAAATGTAATAGATTCGACTGGAATTCGAACTCGGCTCTCTGATTCCTCAATCCGAGCCGCTATCCATTACTCCACAGTACCTCCCAGTAATTACTGACGCTATTCCAAACACTAATCTTTATCTTTGCTCCTGATTTTTATTGACTCTCTATCGAGGATGACTATAGCGATTTACTAAGCGTGGCTTTGTTGCGGCATAGGGTCGAAGGTATGAATAATCCAGTGGGGGTCGAACTGACTACCCAGTTGTAATTGATCTAGTGACAAGTTTTCTGGCCAATTCAACACGGCGGAGTGCCTATGTCGAGGCTGACTATAGAGGCAACAGCTGTTCCTCTTAATAAATGATCAAGAAAGATGATTACGCGAGATTGTATTCCCAAATTGACCACTGGCTCAATCTCGTACCTATATGCCATTGTTGATTGCCAAAGGAATATTTCTGTCAAACGATCTGGCGATTAGAATAAGTACAGGGAAATGTGTTCATGCCTTTCATAAGAAGTACATACTGAAATTTGAACTCGGTTTTCTTTGATGATATGCGACAATTCCGCTCATCTCCACTTAGTTGTATTTGAAATAAAAAAAATAAAATAGTGTGTTGAGGTCGAGTTTAAATTAAACGGAATATTGAATTGAAGTGTTCAAGTCTTACTTGCGGTCGTTAATGTCAATTTTGCATTAATGCCCTTTCGTCGTAACAAAGGACTTCTTTAGACTAATTTTTATCGATTTAATTATTGCACTGGTCAACGAAAAATTTTTGAAAAGGTGTCGAGACACCAAACATCTTTCTCAGCGAATTTGAGGTCCCTGAATCTGAAAATGACCTTACTTTTTCTTTGTTAGCTACCGGTTTGGTTGTACAGAAATGCCTCATTTTTTTTTAAAAAAAAAAGCATCTTTTTCATTTGTTTTCTGTATATATGATATTGACCGATCGCAATATTTCTGAAAATAAAATCGTAGAAACCTTTCAATTCCTATATAAACCAACAAATATTCGTCTGTTTACTGATGTAGAATAACAATAATAAACAGCATTTACCGACGTAAAGGTCCCAGCTAGCGTCCAGCTGGCAGACAAAAATAAAGCAGGTTGTAACTTCATACAAACCCTGCAAACTAACTGATGAATCAAGCTGGTATTTATATAGAAATACCTCCACTCAGGTACCAGCAGCCAATCACAGCCCAAGCAATGGACTATCCCCCTTTAGCACAATGAGATGCTCCATGGCACCATAAATAGCTGTCTTTCTAAAGGTTGGATTATTATTCACTTAGCTTGCTCCAGAACTGAGTGTTTATCTCGACCACGTGATTTTTCTACAACTGTTTTTTGCAATAACAATCACACCCTAAGTCTTTAAAAATAACACGATTGAATATACCAAGAACAACAAGTATTTTCATCAAATCATTTAATAAATTACCAGCAACCTTCGTGAATATAAGAACTATGGTAAAATTTTTCTCTCTTTAATGTCTGTCATGTTCAATGTTATTTAAATTCCTTTTGAAACTCCAGCAGTATCATGTACAATGGAATAGGTGCATTCAATTGGGATTTCTTTAGTTGGAGTTTCTTTCCAACTGTGAAAACAAAATGCTCTCAATGTGCTTGGTTTCCTTCCATAGTGAAGGGATAAAAATGATGGGATAAATTTATGAATATCAAACAGAAGATTTTAAGGTTTCATTTTTTTGATGTCACCTTAATTATCAGGTTCATTAAAGTGTGTTATGATAAAGTTTATCAGTTAAGTTGAATTTTGTCGATAAATTGAAAAAAAAAAACGGTACTTCTATTTTAAATTTTTTGACTCAAAAACACTTTTTCTTATAAAAATAGTTTATTGCAGGTGGTTGTCATAAATTGCACGACATACCTGAAGACTGATAGGTTTCTACGACCTTTATTAACTAAATTTTGCGATCAGCCAAGATCGTAAATGTATTTTTTTTCTAAAAATGAGCAATTTCAGTACAGCAAAAATGGTAGTTAAATATGAAAAACTATGTTCGTTTTCGGAATCAGCACCAACAATTTGGATAAAAAAAACTTGTTTTGTTTCTTGGCACCAAAAAATTGTGTTGACCAATGTTTCATATGAAACAAAATGGAGGGGACGAAATACAACAAATATTAGTTAGAATTATACATAAAAAGCAAAAACCCTGAAGATCTAGGGGGCCGTTAACGTCATTTTTTTTTTTTCGCCGTCCGATGCAAATTGGTGCATTACCGAGCCGACCTCATTCAGCATTCTGGCTTAGGTCCGTATCACGCCGAAACACCGGTTTCCGGAGGATCATCGCAGTTAAGCAACGTCGAGCCTGGTCAGTACCGAAATGGATGACCTCTTGCGAATACCAAGTGCGGTCAACTTGCATGTGCGGATGGTATAAAGTATAATGGCTCGAAATTGTTAATCGGATTGCCAAGTTCCAATCCCAGCTGCATTTGTTATATTAACTTAGGCGCAAATACCGCTGAGAAGGAATGAATCCGCCTCTTCAATCCCCCCAAATATGGGTTAATTAGTAAGTCATGTATCACTAAATTATTATATCCCCTCACTAACAATTTTTTAAACTAAAAATAGTTGCTGCCTTTAAATAGCCTGCAAGGAGTTGATAAACCGTAAAAAAAAGAATTAATAATTCAGTTTTTTTGTAGATTTTGGTTTTACCGCTATTATTTCTTTCGTTTCACGGTGTAATCGACATGTTTAGCATTTTGCTCTCTCCGTATATATATATATATATATATATATATATATATATATATATCCATATATAAAAAAAAAATATTATTCTGAAGAAGTCCATTTGAAGGTCAAAACACATGATATAGAAAGTATATTCCATTTTATCATTTAATTACCACCTATAATTGTTATATATCTAGTGTTGTATTTGGGAGAACAATGTATATAAATGCTATTTATCAGACTGCTAACAATAAGAAAAAACCCTATGTGACACATTTCGTTCTTCGAAAGGTCTTCTTCAGTCTAAATAAGGATCTTTTTTATTAATGACATCATATATATGTAGTAGGAAGGAAAAAATGTCAAAAAATATCGGCTATAATTATACAACGAGAGAAACGCTTAAAACATAGGAACTTTTTATTTTTGTTTTAAACAATTCACTCCAAGCAAGACGACAATGCCACTAAGACGCAAGGGAATATTGGGAGTGAAAGACAACAAAAAAAAAAAAACTCCACAAGGAACCAGAAACTCTATCCTAAACAGGAAACAAGGGATAAACATCTACTCTTGTTAAAAAAGACCGTAGAGGTATGTGGACCGGGTGATAGGCGAACCTATCCACTCCTATCGATATCTTTTAAAATATATATATATATATATATATATATATATATATATATATATATATATATATATAGTATATTAACAGCATCAGGAATTCACCATATATATATATATATATATATATATATATATATATATATATATATATATGTGTGTGTGTGTGTGTGTGTTATATATATATATATATATATATATACACATAGACACACACACACATATATATATATATATATATATATATGTGTGTGTGTGTGTGTGTGTGTGTGTGTGTGTGTGTGTGTGTGTGTGTGTGTAAATTTAATTAGAATCAGACCACGTTAAGTACCCTTAAGTTTTCTAATCAATATTTGGTCTGCTTTTGACATTGAGCTCTCTGGATTATCCATTCGGATTACCAAACTTTTCCTTACCTAACGATATATATATATATATATATATATATATATATATATATATATATATATATATATTAAGCATGGCCATAATGCCACTAAGTGGTAATGGGCTACTGGGAATGAAAGACATTAAAAAACTTTAGAAAGTACTGGAGACCAATCCTAAACAGGAAACAAGGGATAAACCTCTACTCCTGTTCAAAAGACCGGGGAGGTGTGTAAAGCATTCGATAGGCGAACCTATCTATTACTGTTGAAGAGAATTAATATATTTCAGAGTTTAGGTGGAGACGTTAGAAGTATAGAGTTGAAGTAGACTTTAGAAGGAACTGGAAATATTTTGCTGTTCAAAAGAACAGGGAGCAGTGTGATGCAAATTAACTTGGAATTTTTAAATTTCTGGAGTTCGATGCGACTGAATGCACAAGATAGCCGATAAAAATAGAAAGGAAAACAGTAGATAACTGATGGAAGTCGGCTAGGTTGTGTGCCTAGACACATCTGACTCGAGAAATTTTAAAAGTTAAATATAAGGATGTCAGTATTTTCAGCGTTTCTCTCGATGCATAATTACAACCGACGTTTACTTGTATTCCCCCCACCACCACCACACACAGTGCTGTTCGATAAAAGTGACTCAGCTGACTTTTTTACTTAAAACTTTTTCGCCTATTGTTTTTTTGGTCAAACTAATTTTTAATATTACTAATATAAATACCCATTCCCGACCACCTAGTAAAAAATTTACACACCCTAAGGTATTCTATTGATAATTATAATTTTGAATATAAATCAGATTTAGGGAGAAAAAAGTGACTCATTTATTTCCTGCAACTAGTAATCAATAGAAACATAACCGAACAGCTTTAAATAAAGAATAATAAAAGTATAATTTATTTATAAGAGGTAATATAGTTCGAAATATTTAATAATCTATGGGTCCTCCTTTATTTTGAATAACCTTTTCAATCCTTTTTGCCATTGACTTGATTAGGTTCTGGCAAATCTCATCTCCAAGCATTGAATTCCATTCGGATATGAAATTCACAATCAAATCCTCTTTGTTGCCCAACTGCTTTCTCGAGAGCCTGTACTTTATAATGCTCCATAAGTTTTCTATGGGATTGAGGTCAGGAGATTGGGGCGGCCATGTCATAACACTCACCTGCTTCTCATCAAAGTATTCCTTCATCAATTTTGATTTGTGACAGGGAGCATTATCCTGCATAAAAATGAGCTTGGTGGGGGTCGATTTGCATCCTTTCAGCAGAAGGGAGCAGACAAGACTCTAAAATTCTCTTGTACTGCTCGCTCCTGAGGGTCTTTTCAATAGGTTTTAAGAAACCAGTTCCATGAAAAAGAAAAGCATCCCCAGAACATTATATTGAACGGATTTTGACAGTACCTGCTAAATTCAAACAGCTTTCAAAAAATCTTCTTCAGATTTTAGATCGCTTATCCTTTGAATTTAGCTCAACTTTCGTTTCATCGGAGAAGAGAATATTTAGTAAAAAAAATCAGGTGAGTCACTTTTATCGAACAGCACCGCATATGAGATTCCATCAATAAAAATATTATTTCGTTCGACGAAGTCCTTTCGAAGGACGAAACGCGTCACGGAGGATTTTTTCCCATTTTCTCATTCTAGAGTATTTCCCGCGAAAATGAAATGGCTCCATCTCTCTAACTGGAACAGGTCAGGGATTAGTACCTATAGGTACAAATTGCTATATATTAGGTTGGTGCAAAAATAATGACGTAATAATGTCGTTTTTTGATGTATTTTTTAACGTCAAAAAACGACATTCTTACGTCATTGTTTTTGCACCAACCTAATATTATATGGAGAGAATGTCGTCGCCGCCAAATCTTCCCCATCAGTTACGAAATGCCGTGAATAGATCGGTATTGTATCTAGCGGGATATAGGATGATTTTATTTGATTTTTAACGCGTAAAAGAAGTATGTTGGAGTGTCAGCAGACTGGGAAATGACCGGATGGGAATTTGCCACCGGTCGACTACAAATCTGCGAGTAATGAAATAGTTAAACGATTTGGAAAGAGAAACCGCGGAGCCGAGTTCGAATTCCGTTACTTTCAGTCTCGAGCAAAGAACTTTGGGAAAGGTATGAATCCATCTCCTCTCCACCCCCACCCCGTCCCCGTCCCCGGTACAAGCTGTGTTAAATAGAAATGAAATCTCTTGGGTTGACGTGACAATTAGTCTAGGAGAAGGAAAACTCTGAATTCAAAACCAGTCCAAAAAAGGATGGACTCCGCCCTGCTTACCTTGCCCTAAGCACACCAGTAGTGCCGTGGGTGCAGTACAGGTGGAGCTCTTCCGATCCAGATGGTTCTTAGGGAAAATCGTGACGTGAAGACTACAGACGCGCCGTTGGATTTAATAAAAAGAAATGTTGATTTTTTTTTCTGTTCATGCTATATTGTGTACCTACCATCTTATTTATTTCTTGTTTTATTTTTTTACAACTTTGCTGGATAATTTTAGGGAATTTTCTGGGCGAAAAAATCCTTACGGGTGAGTTCTGTATGGTGTAAGAACAACATGCTTTATAGGATCATCTCTGCTTTTGTTTTCTTTTTAAAGCTACTGCCTGCGTGTGTCTGTGTGCGCACGTGCTAAAATAGTTGTCTTTGTAACTCATGTGTACTTACCTGTGTTTGTGTGCGTTTAATAATCCATGATAATCCAAGATAATCAATGAAGGGCGACCGAAGAATCCGGTATTAATTGCAAAACACGAAAATAAATATTATAAATAATAAAAATTAAAATCCGTTATTAATTAGAGATTCCTAAATAAATGTCGTATTAATTAAAAGCTTAAAAGATAAAACAAAAATAAAAACAATGCTCAACTAGGTTACATCACTCTTCTGTGATGATATACCGGAAGTGCTACCTTAAATTGCGGCTTACAAATCGACTTTTGGGGGTTGAATTTTCAAGCGTAAATATTTTTTTTTGGAGTGGGGTTACAGTTTTGGGTCACTGGTAGCGTACTGTTTGTTTCGGGGTCGACCTATACGGTAGGTATATGCTTAACTTAGAATTTGGAGCTAAAACCAAATCCTCAGCACGACTTGTACGCCAGGTCGACTTTTACGCCGGGTCGATTCGTACGTCAAGTCGACTCGTACGCCATGTCGACTTGTACACCGCAATTTACGGTAAGTAGTTACATTTTTGTAGCGCCGCTTACGAAACCAGGTGCAAACGAACAGAAAGAAACCTCCGTGAGACAATCAGCCTAATGAGGCACATATAAAAACTTATCAACCGAATTCTGATGAATAAGCATGCGCAGTAGAATTAGACAGGAAATGGCACAAAAACAATGTGGTGTTGTTGAAGACACTGGAACAATGAATGCTCAGAATGATACCAGAAAGACCAATACAAATACAAAAGGATGTATATCGATATTCTATAGATAAAAATAAGATTGATAATTGATAAATTACAAATAAACTATTGGAACCACAAAGGTGAGATTGATATATTTACGAATGGTATTAGAATAATCCAGACCTTATACTGGGTGATGATGGACGTCAGGTTTCCGCTGTATTGAATGTGACCAGCTAGTTTTATCTAAGACCAGAGGAGAGATCACCTGCCAG